TTTTCAGTCATTTTAGATTACAAACCGGAAATTGACAGCCTCGAAGGGTTTGGGGCTGTCAATTTCCCGTTTGTAATCTAAAATGACTGAAAATTGCAAATTTCGCAAGGCTATATTTTCCGCATTTTACAACATTTCGCAACGAAACTTTGGAATATTACTAATTTTGTGATGCTCCTTCAAGTTGTAATGAAATTTTTGTCTAGACTTGTTTAGTTCAAAATTTAGTCTATTACGCAAATGGTCAATTAGCTTTATTCAAAATAAACACGCACTATGACATCGACATCTGTTTCTGAAGCAAAATAAATTTAAATTTTTACACAATACATTTTTACACACTACTGTTTATATACCGGAGATATGTGAAGATACTTTTCGAGATCAAGAATGCGTATTAGTGTGTTTTGTCATAGTTAACGAACGTACATGGTTAGGAGACTTTTTTGTTCTAGGTTATCATGTATATCTAGATATACAGTAGGTTATCATGTATATCTAGGTTATCATATATCACGGTTAATAATTCTTTTGTGATGCTATTGTTTTACACGCATCTACTAAAGTGGTTGATACGTAGGGAAAGGGCAAGAAGTGTTTTGGCTGCTGGTTGGTGCACAATTTTTAAGCACTCAAAACGAATTGCGATATTTTACATGTAATAAACATGTTTCAACAGAGGATGTTTCTGTTCCATCGTTTAGCCATTTCTAACAAGTCTTAAAAACATTTTGTGCATGTTCCAACCTCGTTCAACCTACATGTTTGTCATTCTTCGATAGTATCTTTGAAGTTTGTCGGCTTGCCTAACCATGTCATTGTATTAACTATAATTTATATGGTTTTACATAATATTTGGTGGGGTTCAGTCAGTGAGCTCTATATATATATCTGGACCGAGAACTCGACTGCCAGAAAGTGAAGCCAACTTCGAGTTAGCCACGCAGACAAAAACAATAGGAACTGGAACTGAAGTCCAAAAGCTCTTCAATTTCCGCCTTGGCAAGGAGTGTGCCGAAATTTCGCATTTTGACTTCGATTTAAAGACAAATATTATATGAACTGAAAACTTAATTAGCGATACGGTCCGTTAGAAAAAACTGGATTTAGCTGGGAAAATTGTATAAAAACTGTTAACGACCTTCAGAGCGATTGGACGTCAATGGCCGCCATCTCCAATGGCTTCACTTTTCTCATAGGCCGAATGACTGAAGTTGTTGCTCCAGATATATACAGGGTTCACTGGTTTGAGTAAGCATTACAGGGCAGCAGATGGTAATGAACTGCAAAAATGTTAACATTGAGAGGCACTGGAAATTAGTCTGTATTCTAAAAGCTCACTCACACTCAAAGAGTGCAGGTTCAATCTGAGCTTCCCTTGACTGGCAGTGCTGTTTTTGAATAGCTGGAGGGTGACGCCTGTATTCTAAAAGCTCACTCATACTCCCACTCAATGAGTGGAGGTTCAATCTGAGCTTCCCTTATGTGTCAATGATGTTTTTGAATAGCTGGAGGGTTAGTGTCGTACCTTACTATGTATGTGACTACTCACCCTCCAGTTATTCAAAAACAGCATTGACACTCACCAGAAGCTCAGATTATACCTCCACTCTTTGAGGGCGAGTGTGCTTTTACAATACAGGTGTTAGTCTCGTACCTTATTATGTGACTACTCACTCTCCAGCTATTCCAAACCAGCACTGACAGTCAAGGGAAGCTCAGATTGAACCTCCACTCTTTGAGTGTGAGTTTTTAGAATACAGGCGTATATCTCTCACACTGTATGTTTGATAGGAACTGCCACTCCCTATCATCTCCATAGTCAGCGATATTTACCAGAAGTCTGACCATCTGCTGCACGATCGTGCTTCGTGAAACCAGGGCGTATTAAAACACAGGTGTTTTACAACGCCCTGGTGAAACTCGCCTATGTTCCGTACATTCTCCTATTATTCACCGAGTGTATCTTTAGACTCCACATTTACATTTGGTTAATAAATATAATTTGGATGAGGAGATGTCTATAAGTTTGATACAAACAACATTATTCATCTTTCTGGCTGTGAAGAAATTCTCGAGTTCTTACTATCCCGAAGAAATGGATGCTTTAAAGCCTCACTGGCGGTAATCCTAGTCGCAGGGTTCAAATCCAGACACCTCTCTAGCAGATCATATGTCGAAATCGGGACATACTCTGGACACGAGCCGCAATCACACACACAGCGGCTTCCATCAAGATGCTCTCGGGAGGTCCCACTTCCGGTCTGATCACGTGGACAATCTTCGGATTTTTCCGAAATGGGATGATCGCCTTCCGACAAAAACCGAGCTTTTGTTTTCTCTTTCAATGTATGAGATTTTACATCTGAAACACTGTTCGATCGCAGATCATTAGATTCCGAAAGTTGCTCATCAACTTTAGTTTTGTCTGAATAACCTTTACTTAAATTCTCTGGTTTGGGATTTTTAATTTCAGTTCGAGCTTTTCCAAACTGCATGTTTCTAGCATTTTGGGTACAAACGTGGGAAGTGTTTTCCTCCTGATTTCCACGAACTTGAGAAATATTTTTCACTTTTGAATCACCGACCATGGAGCTCTTTGTTGATATAGTATCTTTACGATCAATGCCACCAGCTTGACAATTGCCTTCAGCATCAGCTTTCGGACTAAATATTGCATTGCCTTCCTTCGAAATACATTCCCTAGCTCGTAAACTTGTTCTCCTCAAATTCGAAACAGGCGAAGAAGGGTTACTTTTATTCTTTGCTAAAAGTTTACTGCACGATGAACAGCATTTTGTTTTGCTTTCCTCGTGTTCTTTTCGTTTTGCAGCGCGCAATTTCTGGCAAAGATCTTTGAGTTCGTATCCAGATGAAATGCTGTTGGTGACCATGTATTTGCCTGAGCAGAAGATTAAGAGATAATTGTGAGACACGTCTCTGATGGTATGCAGTTTCGTGAGGGCTAGGCAAACTATAGGCAGGCTTTCCACCTTCTACCGTGCGATAATTCAAAATTTTTACTCGTACCTGGAAGGTACTCCAATGATTATTGGCTTGTACATAAGCTGGTACAAACTTAAGACTCAAGGTGTACTTAGTCTTTAAAACAAAGTAGGTGAAGTACAGGTTTCTGAAAGGTATTCATTCAGTAACCTGAAACTAAGAGTTTTAGATGGAGCATATTAATTGCATATGCAAACACTCAGTCCAATCATATGTTTAATGCTAAGTCATGTTAGACTTATACATAAACGACAAGCTTATGGTTATGGATAACTTGGGCTTCGAAAGGTCAAATGATTATAAAGTACGAAGATAGCAAAAAGTTATAATAAAGTACGCAGATGGAATTAAAACAGAAGTATATCAGACCGTAGTATTGGCGCACCTCCGGTACATACTTTACTGAAGGTGAAATTTAGCTTATCTAAGGACTTTCCAGGACTTTTCCCTGAAACTAGCAAAATCTTCAAAAATGGCACACATTTTGCTTTTTGAAACATTGCTATATATTTATTCAAGATTAGTAGTCTAAATATGTTCGAGCATTATCACTGACAGCGGGAAAGAAATTTCAGGACTTTCCAAGACTAGATTAATATTTTTTTCAAATTCAAAGAATTTCCAAGATTTCCAAGACCCGTGGCCACTCTGTATAGGATACACTAATGCAGTAGTCTTGAAAGCAGCAGAAGTTATAGAGCCATGGAGTGATGCTGCCTCCATAGTCTCCAAAGGTTAGCCCCAAGTTCAAATGTGCGCTTTAAAAACGTTGAATTAAGAATTCTGGAGTTACAGGTCAGCTCCAAAACCATATGGAGGGAGTGAAGCTACAGTAGCTATCATCTAAACGTTTAAGAACGAACTTTCCCTAAGCCTCGTGTTAACTGTATATTTTGCGTTCAATGTGTAGACCACAATAAGACATTTTTAATGTGTTTATTACATCAACAAACGACGTTTCGAAGGTTTACTCCATCTTCAGGTAGATGAGATTACAAATTGTAATCTGAAGATGGAGTAAATCCCCGAAACGTCGTTTGTTGATGTAATAAACACATTAAAAAAAGTCTTACTGTGGTCTATACATTGAACACAAAATATATAATCTAAACCTGAAGTAAATGGCTAAATGGTACAAACTTACCCAAATGTTTCGTACTTTCCACTACACGTTGCTTACCAAATACAGTAATAATCTGAGCTATGGCTGTCATATCGTCCATACAACGAAAGAATGGATATTTCCCACTCAGAAGACATAACATTATTATTCCTGCAGACCACACATCTACGGCTGAAATAAGAAAGAATATTACAACTGCTGCCTGCATACTGTACTAAAAGTTTTGATGGCGTACAGTGTGGATTATAACAATGGGTAATTCCAGCCTGTAGACTAAATTTTGATCAAAGCAAGAAGAACGAAATCCAACACCAGAGCTAGAAAGAGCGTCTTATAATGAGTAAAACTGCAAACTTAAGATTGGTTGCTACAGGTTGTAAAATGAAGAAAATATAGCCCTGTGAAGTTTGCAAATTTTGTACATTACCCACGGTAAAAATAACATGCACTTTCGGCTCAAAAATGGTTATTTTTCCCACGCGTAATGCAATTTTACTCATTGTAAGATGCTCTCTCCAGCTATGGTAATGGATTTCGTTCTTCTTGCCTAGATCAAAATTTCGCCTATAGCTGGAATCACCCATTTCGCTTGGGTCTGACAGATGTCCAACCATGGATTGTAAAATAACTGGATAGGAAACTTCTGACGTCATTTTTGTTGTTTTGCTATATTTTCCACTTTAAAAGGGTGATCTTGAAGCGTAAATTGGTCTAATTGTTTAAAAACATGCCTAAGCCACGACAAAGTATTCAAGTATTTCGTCTTTGTTTTGTATTTTTTTACATTTGTAGCTACGAAATTGGCGTCACAAATTTTAACGAAATTTGCGATGTATTTTTCACTGTTTAGTGCTTGAAATATTTGCTAAAATTGACTGGGAATACTTAAGAGTTTTCATCGTAGAATGGCGTGGTTACATTTATTTGTTCTTTGACTAAAATCTTTAGCTGTATTATTGCTAAACATGCCGTTTTTGAGAATTTGATTTTCAACTAGGTTGAGGCATCCAATAACGCCATCAATCCCAGTAAAAACATTAGGTCACGTCAGCTAGTTTCCTATCCATTTATTTTATTATCCATGGTCCAACCAACTGTGCAGTTCTCGTACATTGGCTGACAATAGTTGGTCATGCAGCTTTTAGGGGTGCACCGGAACTCGGTTCCGGCCGGTTAGTTCCGGCCGGAACCCCGATTTTTTAGAGTTCCGGTTCCGGCCGGAACTAGTAGAAAAAGCATGGCCGGAACCGGAACTCTGTCTGTTTCAGAGAGATAGAATATCAAACGTTTTTGTGTCTAACAAAAGGTCACAGTAGGAAGAAATTTGGACTACGCAAGGGAAATATACACTATAACATTTCATTATGGCGTTTAACGTTTGTCAATCTTTTTATTCTAACATTTGCAAGCTCTCTCCTTGATGACTTGAAGTGTCTGCCTGTCTGGTAGCGGACAAAGTAACATATGACTATATATGGCTTAATATATTAGTTCCGGTGCACCCCTAGCAGCTTTTCAATATTTACATTAATAGCTCATGCTGATCATTTCCCGATCAATCACATTACTTAACCGTCATAGATCAGATGTCGCCCTCGCGACCCGTGCGCGGAATCTTTGTGGCCTGGTAAGAATTTTGAAACAATTGCCCTTTCTTAAGGTGGCTCCCTACAGTTCTCTAAAATTCTAGGTATTTTGAGTATCGTTCGCTTTGAACCGAATTTATATTAGATACACTTAAGACAAGGCAATATGATCATTTCCAGGAAAGTTCAGAAGCTGTGTGCTGTCCATTTATGAACAAATTAAAACAGTGTTTGTGTTGCCATGGCAACCATGACGTGTAATCTTTTGCACTTTTATTGCCTAATTTCACAATAAATGGACAATATCTATATTTTCCTTCGGTGAATTTTTCTGAAATTTTTTTTGAAGATTTATGGTCCATAAAGAAAAAACATATCAAAATTTGAAGGGAATTTATAAATAAGTTTTCGAGATATTCGTGAATGACGGTTACAGAAAAAGTTATCTATAGAATTTCTTAAAATTTGGATATGTTGTACCATTCCTCTTGTTTAACAAAAATACAAAGTTTAAAAAAATTTCACCGAAGAAAACACGAGAAAATCATCGCTAAAATCGGCGTGGCCAGCATGAAAAAAAATCGACTCGACATGAGCACGATCTGCGCATGCGTGTAAATTGTAGCGTGTGATTTATAGTGATTTCAACTTTTTGGTTTACAATACATAAGAAAACAGATATTTCTGACTTGTTTGACATGAAAATAAAATATTAATCTTGAAAATACTAATAAAAAAACACTATTATACGCATTGTATTAAATCCAGTGTTAGTTTACATTTGTTTTTGTTGTTAAAGTCGGTGTGAAAACTTTTCAAAACATCGAACTACAAGTTTAACTTTTCATATAAAACAACTCATAACTGTTTTATTTGATTTAGCAGATAAAACGATACCTGTAAATTGAATTGATTGACAGAACTTATATAAGTTTCGGCAACAGTTCACTACTGTTCAAGAGTTAATAGAAGACACTGTCATTTCAGTTTGACAGCTCGCAAAACAACAAGTTGAAAATTTTGAGCAATATGAAAGACAATACTGAACGTAAATACGTAAAAACACACTAAAAGATAGGTTAAACTAGTTAATAACATACGTACTGTTCGAATTCAGAAAAAAATAGGATTATAATGAAAAACTGTGGCTTTCTTTGTAGATAAAAAACGCCAAAAAACTTCCCACGGCTTGTTTCAATATTTTTGCAGAACAGTAAACACGATTCCACGCGCAGGTCGCGAGGATGAAATCTGATCTATATAAATCGTATTTAAACTGTACTAACTGTAGGGAGCCACCTTAAGTATATTCAATATAAATTTGGTTGAAAACGAAGGTTACTTAAAATATTTAAAATTTTAGACAACTGTAGGGAGCCACCTTAATTTATTTGAACGGTCAAAATTTCCGTGCAGATTAAAATTAATCGATCATAGTGTTTTTATTGGCAAATATAGACGTTCAGATTTGATTTCCACTACCACTACTACTATACCTCTAACTCTAACTGTCTTAGTACGTATCTGATTGGTTAATCGAATATATCAAACGCATCTGATTTGTCAATGGTTCCTTAATGGTAGCGGTAGTGGAAGTCAAATCTGGTTCCTCTATATCAATAGCGGATTGCCGACCGTTACGTATATTCCAGACACTGCTGAGTGCCGGCATAGTGTATTCGAAACATCAATTTCTAAGAATATTTAGTAAGTTTACATGTTTTATTCTATATTTTTGCTTACCTGTTGTCTGTTGTGGATACTTTAGTAAAACTTCAGGAGCACGAAATCCCGATGTTCCAGCTCTTGGAGCACTTTGAGTTGCTCTACAATGTTTAAAACACGAAGTACTGATATATTAAGGTGGCTCCCTACAGTTAGTACAGTTTAAATACGATTTATATAGATCAGACTTCATCCTCGCGACCTGCGCGTGGAATCGTCGTGTTTACTGTTCGGCAAAAATATTGAAACAAGCCGCGGGAAGTTTTTTGGCGTTTTTACTCTCAAAGAAAGCTCCAGTTTTTCATTATAATCCTAATTTTTTTGTGAATTCGAACAGTACGTATGTTATTAACTAGTTTAGCCAATCTTTTAGTGTGTTTTTACGTATTTACGTTCAGTATTGTCTTTCATATTGCTCAAAA